AGCTCTACAGTGACTGGTCTGAATGACTATCGGCCAGTGGCCCTCACCCCGATAGTTGCTAAATGCTTCGAAAAACTGGTCATGACTCACATCAAAACAACTATCAACATTAACGGACTCATCAAAACAACTATCAACATCAACGAGGACCCTCATCAGTATGCATACCGTGAGAATCGATCAACAGATGATGCCATCTCCTCTGTGGTCCACACTGCGCTCAACCACCTGGAGCAGAAAAACTCTTACGTCCGTATGCTCTTTGTGGACTTCACATCCGCCTTCAACACCATGATCCCCCAAACCCTGATGGACAAACTATCCACACTAGGACTAAGCCCCTCCATCTGCAACTGGGTACTAGACTTTTTAACAAACAGACCACAGTTAGTGAGGATCCACAACCTCTCCTCCTCCACCATAACCCTCAGCACTGGCTCTCCTCAGGGATGTGTGTTGAGCCCCCTCCTGTTTACTCTGCTCACATATGATTGTGCAGCTACCCATCCAGGCTGTCACATTGTAAAGTTTGCAGATGATACAGCGGTGGTGGGATGCATCACAAACAATGATGAGTCCAGCTACAGGCAAGAGGTGGAACACCTGGAGAGCTGGTGCAGAGAGAATAACCTTCACATCAATGTGAAGAAGACAAAGGAGATGATTGTGGACTTCAGAAGGAACAAAAACACCTACACCCCCCTGAACATAAGAGGATCTGCGGTGGAAGTGGTCTCCAGCTACAAGTACTTGGGTGTACACATGAATGACAACCTCAGCTGGAGCAACAACACCACCAGCCTGATCAAGAAAGCTCATCAGAGACTCTACTTCCTCAGACGGCTGAGGCGAGCTGGTCTGGGAAGCTCAGTCCTCACCTCCTTCTACAGGTGTGCAGTGGAGAGCATCCTGTGCTCCAGCATCAACGTGTGGCATGGAGGCTGCACAGCTGCAGAAAGAAAAGCTTTGCAGAGAGTGGTGAAGGCTGCACAGAAGACTGTCAGAGTCAGTCCCCCGACCATCACAGACATCTACACCTCTAGATGCAGGAAGAGGGCTACCTGCATCATGAAGGACCTCACTCACCCAGCACACACACTTTTTGCCCCACTCGGAGCATTAAGTGTAGAACCACTAGACTGAGGAACAGCTTCTACCCTGAGGCTGTTAGACTCATGAATCTCTAACTAGAATAATCACTGTGAAAAACCA